ATCAGCCTTTATGTAAAAATAGTTAACACTGATTCATATGTATTTATTGATTAAAAAATTATTTGTTAGGGACATTTCTAGATGCTGGGATACAATATTGAACCACAGAGTCCCCATGGAGCTTATAATAGGGTTCATTTTAGCTGTAAACTTGACCATGACCTCTAAGAGGAGAAGAAAAATCAAAGGAAAGATGACTAAGCTGATGGTGTTTATTACAAATGAGATTAAACATTATATAGCCCATACACAATCTTGCTGACCAAAATAAGCAAACAAGACATTAGAGCAGAAGATAAGCAATTCCAAAAATGCTGTGTACAACAAACCCGAATTGCATTTAAAAATAAAAAGGCATATTAGTAGACACATAAGTGTAAAATAACTGGTTAAGTAAACAAAATAGAAATAGAAAATTACCTGCAAATAATAAACAAACATAAATGGTGAAATTTACGGCCAGCAATATGGAACTTTAGTAAAGAGAAATTATTTTTTTTCAAAAAAATCTCAACTCAGACAAGGGCCCACACTCATGAGAATCCTCAAAGACAGTGTCCAGGATATAGATTTGCCAAGGCTTTTCATTCTAGAAAAGTAGTAGTCAAGAAAAAAGGAGAGAGAAAATGTAAAGAGATAAGAATGACAATGATTTTGGACCATAACTTCCAGAGTCTGCAGAAGAAAAGTAACACAAGTAAATCCACACAGTTAAAAGAACTGGAGCTACTGATACACAGATCAAATACACCTTCCGCTGGAAAGGTAAAAAAAATAATTTCAAGACTTAAATAACTTGAATATATATATATTTTTCCATTCATTAAGTGTTTTTAAACTACCTACTATGTGTCAGGTCCTGTCACTAAGTGCTGAGGTACAAACTCAATTTAGAACATAAAAATAACAAACTGCTCCAAGTTCTCCACAGAGATGTGTACAGATGGTATATAAAAGCTCATCTGAGAATACAGTGAATTCTGTTGAGAAAAAAATGATAATTCTTTGCAGAGGTGACACCTAAACTGCTTCTTGAAGAATGAGCAGGCATTCACAGAGGAAAGACAATGAGATGGGAGGGGACAGAACATGAGGCTGGAAAAGTAGGTTGGGACACACTGTTTAATATACAGAAGTGCTGGGTTATATCTTATAAGTGAAGGGAACCACATGAAGTTTTTAAGCATAAAAATGACAATCACATTTGTATTTTTCAAAGATAATTCTGACAGTACTGTATGGAACATATTAAACAGGAGAGTAGTTGCAATATAAAACAATTTGAGTAGAGAAGCAATAAGTAGCTGAATTAAAGCAATTTACAACTAGAAAGGCATTTGAGAATCGGTCAAAACTTGACAAATTTGGAAGACAAATGGATCAGAATAAACAATTTTTAATGAAATAAAATTAGCTGGTAAAATGAAAATTTTTCTTAAAAATAAGATAGATAAATAAACTGTGGATAAAGAGAAGGTAAGAGGAGTTGAAGAATAAACCCAAATGGCCAAAAGCTTTATTTTTCCTACAACAGAGTTTAAAGTTATTTTAAGTAATAATAGAAATAATGAAATTCTCTCTGTTAAAATAAAAATATGTAGCTTTCAAAGTAAATATTAAACAGTGGAAAAAAGAATAAATATAAAACTTATTGTGAAAAAGATAATTACTCAAAATATCAGTTAAAGAATTTGACAAATGTAGTAATCCTGGAAACAGAAGAGTCACTACTAGATTAAAAAAGAACAAATATTTGTTGGCTTTAAAATATTATTCAACAATTTACTCCAACAGATATTTTTAAATAGCTAAAAAACATAAAGATGATTACGGCATCTTTATTCATCTGCTTTCGAAGAATTTACATTCTAGAAGGGGAGACAAATTCATAAACCAAGTACAGGAGTCCTCCTTATCCATGGGGAATACGTTCCAAGACCCTGAAACCACAGAGAGTACTGAACGCTATATAGATGTGTGTGTGTGTGTGTGTGTGTGTGTGTGTGTGTGTATTCCCCCTCCCCCCCACTCAATATATACACCTATGATCAAGTTTTAGAAATTAAGCGTGGTGTCTATGGCCATGCCACTCTGAACATGCCTGATCTCGTCTGATCTGGAAGCTACGTAGGGTTGGGCCTGGTTAGTACTTGGATGGGAGATCACTTAGGAATATCACGTGCTATAGGTGAGAAAGAATGAAAAAAAGAAAAGAAAAGAAAAGGAAAAAAAAGCAAGCAAGAAAGCAAGCAAGAAAGCCAGAAAGACAGAAATTAAGCACGGTAAGAGATTAAGAATAGCTGATAATAAAACACAATAATTATAACAATATAATCTAATAAAAGTTATGTGAATGTGGTTTCTCTCTCTGATCATCTGATAACCAAGACAGCTACTAAGTAACTAAGGGCGGGGAGCATATACAGTATGGAGACACTGGACAAAGGGATGACTGACATCCTGATATGGATGAAGCAGTACAGCGTGAGATTTCATCACACTACTAAAAACAGTGCTCAATTTAAAACTTAGAAATTGGTTATTCTGGAATTTTCCATTTACTATTTCAGACCACAGTTGACTGCAGGTAACTGAATCCTCAGAAAGCAAAACCGTGGATGGGGCGGGGGGAGCTACTGTAGTTAATAACTGGGTAAATGCAATGACAGAAGTACACATTGGGGCAATACAAAGTGTACTGGCACCTGAGCCAGCATGGGGCTACTGTGAGGGGAAGTTTCTTGGAGAAGATAAAGTCAAAACTAAGTCTTAAAAGATGAGGAAGTTGTCAGTTCAAGAAATGAGAAGACAATCATGGCAAAAGAAACGGAATGAGTATAATGGCCAAAAAAATCACTAAGAACATGGCATTTGTGAGGAATGACAAGTGGTTCTAAGTTGCTGGAAAATGAAATAGGCAAGAAGTGACTGAATGAGATTAGACAGGTAGCACAGGCCAAATCTTGGAATGCCTTGTTTGTTCTTCAAAGAGAAATTTGGATCTTATGGTTCTTATCCAGCGTGGCTCGTTAGAAGCACCTTGGAAGCTTTTAGAACATATAGAGGCTTAGACCACACTCCTTAGAGACCCTGATTTACTAGATTTAAAGAAGGGGACTTTCTAAGCTTACCTAGGAAATTCTGATGCACTACACACATTGTCGTTTGAGAGAACCACTGTGATAAATGTGGCCCTAAACTGAACTAAGTGGGGAAAACAGGTTAAAATAAAAGTGGGAAACAGTTTGCTAATCAATAGCAATACATTTTAAAGAACTAAGAGAAATAAGTAATTCATTTGGTAAAGACAAAGGAAATAAAAATTTAATAACTGCAAATATATTTTACAAATCAAGTAGTAATAAAAAAATTTAAGAAAAAATGAGTTTAAATTCTAAAGATTCTGATGTTCAATTTACATCCAACGATTTATATCCTGATAATTTTTAAGCTAAAAAATTTTAATTTTGTTGTATTCTTTAAAATGGTAGAGGTAGAATATAGCTGTTAAGAGAGTAGGTTTAGAATCTGGCTTACATCTTGGCTCCATCACGGAGTGTGACCTTAGGTCACTTATTCTCAATGCAGTCTCAATGTCCTCATGTGTAAAATGAAGAAATAATGATACATATCTAACAGAGGTCTTGTGAGTATTAATTAGATGATACATATAAAACACTTAAAACCTAGAAGACTGTATAAAGTTCAGTATCAACTCTTATTAATGTAATCTTTATCATCACCAAGGAGACGATAGCAAAATGATGCCAGAACTTAGAAATAAAGTTACCCTCAAAGATAATTAGAATTGGCACAGAAGGAATGATATTAAGTTGTAGAAAAACTAACCAAAGAGATGGTCTCCAGTTGTGTAGCTGAGGAAACCTGAGAAGTTCACAACTCTCATCAAGAACTGCAGAAGTTTTCAGGAAGTATAATTAGGAAGGAGATAAGAAAGCAAACAAACGATAAAGAAATAGCTCTTCACAAAATTAGAGATCTCTTCTTTCAGAGCTCATCACATTAATATCTGACTTAGACTATCTGACCATGAAGACTAATTGAGTTTATCAGTTACTAAGACAGGACTAGAAGACTTCCGATTATAATGTTTTAAATTACACTATTTAAATCAGAAACAATCACCTAAATTTTAAAATTATGCTTGAAAAAAGAGTAGTCTGCATAAGAGGTAAAAAAACAAAAACAAAAACAAAACCCAGGAAGATATCAAAGAGCTGAAGTGTTACTTTAGCTTGCACAAGAAATAGAATCTGAAGCTAAAATGCCCAAGCATTTGTGTCACAGGCAAGATGAGCCTCTTGATGACTTGGATAAAATATTCCTTGAGACTATTTCTTTATTCCATCTGACTACTTTATTCTAATGATTTCTTTAAAGTCTCTCTTGATTCTAGACTTTATGCTCCAAAAGAGCAGGGACTCTATTCATTGTATTCACAGCAGAAATCCTGGCAGTAGACCCTCAATCAGTACTTCCTGAAGAGTGGATGGCTTCCCAGTTTCTCCGGATTCTGAGACAGGAGCGATAAAATTGGGTGGTAGCGACTCTCCAGAATGACCTTGTACTTTTGCTTTCTACAGTAAGCTTACCAAGAGTCAGTTGCTTTTGCGCCCAAACCTGTTTATGTCAATTGTCCTTGTTACTATAATTTCAGCAGTAATTATGCTTGGAGATGAAGGGAGTGTGGAAAGAGAATTGTTTCTATGAACACTTAGTAGGCCCTAAAACTACTGAGGCTGTTAACACTGCTGAGGTTCCAAAAAGCCACAATAAAGATGAATCACTGTAAAAACTTAGTGTCAACTCTGATATGAGTAAGGCAACTATAAAAGGTTAGAAAAAAGAACCCTAAAAATGTGTAAGGGTTATTAATTGTAAAATTATGGATTATGGGATCTGATCTTTATTTTTTACTTTATGTTAGAATATATCTAATATATAATTTATATGGAATCTATGTAGAAAAGGTCTCAGCCTTATATCTAAAGATTGGTGAATAAACGCACATTTAAATGTTTTAAAATAAAATAAAGTGATTGAGTTACATGTTAATATTGTTTGATTCCCCTGAATCAAGCAGCTAGTGATCCAGATCTTGGAAAAGAAAACTTTCACTGTTCTTATCAAGAAATGACATGGTAGTTATAAGATAAATAAAATAACCATGTTTTGTATGTTGAAAAATTGCTACTGTTTTTTACTCCATCTTTGCACATACCACATTATAATAACATTATTATTATAAATACCCCCACTAAACTATAAATCTCTTGAGAAATAGAACCATGTCATTTACTTAGCTTTACAGTGTCCAGCACGCAGCGATGTCTTCCAAACAGATGCTCCATAAAGTATTTTTTAAGTGGAAAAAAACAAAACAAAACTGCAATTCTCTTTAAAAAAAAAAAAATTAGATCTGAGTAGTATTATATGGCTCTTTAGTACCAATTAATAATAAAATAGCTACACAGAAAAGGCAAATTCTTACCAATTTATAGCCCCTCCATCACACTTCTTCATAAGCAATGCTTTCCAACATTCGTGAGCAGATTTAATAACTTCAAGAGCAAAAGCCTAGTTCCAAACCAAAAAAAAACATAGCAATCACATCATTATACTAATATGGTATACTAATACAGTATACTAACATTATACTCACTATGATAATTAATTGCTAAGAACATGAGCTTTGGAGTCAGGCAAACCTGAGTATAAAGTCTTAGTATCCTTATTTACCAGCTGTTTGACTTCGGGCAAATTACTTAATCTCACTAAATCTTAATTTCTTCATCTATAAAAATGGAATGCAATGGGGACAATCTAAATCAGGGATTGGCAAACTAGGACCTATGGGTCAGATCTGGCCTGCCTCCTGGCTTTGTAAATAAAAAAATTTTAATGACACAGTCACGTCCATTCATTTGTGCCTGGCCTATGTGACTGCTTTAGTGCTACAATGGCAGAGCTGAGTAGTGGTGACAGAGACCATATGCCCCATGAAGTCTAAAGTATTTACTATCTAGTCCTTTACAGAAAAATGTTTGCCATTCCCCGATTTAAATCACAGAGCTGTTGAAAGAATAAATAAGATTTTGTGTGTAAAGTGTTTAGCTTAGTACCTAGCTTGTAAGCAAGCTCTCATCTGTTAATTTCATTGTCATCAAAATTGTAAGAAGTCTAATTGCATAATTATTTTAGATTAGCCACTGTCTAAAGGTAGTAAACTGCCTTAACATTTTCAAAATTTTTCTCAGTATAAATTCATATGGTATCTAAAAATGCAAAATCAACAAGAGATACACCTTTTGCTAGATTATATATCTAGAAACCACCTAAGGAAAACTTGCTTTATTATTCCAAAGCAAATAATTCTTTATATTGTTTCCCCAAAATGTTGTTATTTTTCCTTAAGAAGAGTCCTTATGTATTAGCTAATTCATACTAGCTCTTTTCTCCTTCAATGACAACTAAACACATTGTGATAAGAAATGAAGAAAATAAAGAATATGGGGGTGCACTCTTAAACCACTTCTGGTTTGGCAATGCCCCTTTCTTCAAATCAATTTTTGCTCAAACTCTTAAAAAAAAAATCGAGGGAACCGAGATGTAATAATAATGGAGAATTTACTTCTGAAAAGTTGGCTCACGTCTGCTATTGCCTCAGATGAAGAAGAACGGCTTAATTCTCAGTAAGGTGGTATTGGAAAATCTCAAGATATGAGATAAGAAGTCAAATTTATTATCTGCATCATACGAGGAAAGATTTCAAATTAAATTATTTAGATAATTGCAATTATTTGGAATTAATTCCACTACTTGCTTAGAGAAGTAGGCAGGAAAAATATAGATGGCATGGAAGCCATTGCTTCAATCATGTTAAAGAGGCACAATTTAATTTTCTTGAGTTAGGCATTATATTTTAAACAGCACGGTAAAAAGCAATTAATAAAATGATTATTTTCAGAAATGAGATTATATAAACAACCTGGTATTTATTCAGAAAATAATTCTTGCTTGTCAAAGTGAAATAAACGAATAAAACAAAACGCCTTTTTTATAAATTCATAACTTGGCAGCCTTACTCTGAGGCAATAAGGGGTCACAAAAGTACTATATAAGTTTGAAATTTGTATTATTTCAAACATAAAATACAACATACTTCTCTGAGGAAAAAAAATTTTTTAAATTTATACATTTACAATATTTTATTTTTTTAAAAAAACCCAATCTAAAATAGTTTTATATTAATATTTAATAATCCTGGACAAAGCCCACAAGATCTTAAGGATGTTTAAAAAATACTCGGTCCAGCAATAAATTCTTGTATTCTTGCAAAATACTTATTACAAATCTTAAGTTTTCATTAACATGGCTAGCTTACTTACGAAATATACTTTGCTTGTTAGTATCCACTTAAATGTCGGTTTATAATGTGTAATTTATAGAGTGGTAACAACTCTTTAAATTATTCCATGTTTTAGATTTTAACTCTTTATTTTCTCCATTTGTGTCATATTAGAGGCACTATATGATAACTTTATGGTATTCTAATAGAAAAATCCTATGACAGTAAGAAAATTCAAGTGCTTTCTTAAGTCAGCAGCTTAATTCAGTCATGGCAGAATGAACACGTAGGAGATAAGCCCCTATGGATTTACACTAATGGTCACTGTCTCCTCTTCAGAATAGTAAACAGGTTTTTCTTCCTACATAATTTGAAGAATAAGACTTATTGTGGAAATTCTTCATATTCTGAGATGAAGGAGCTATCCATAGATAGATAGATAGATTGATTGGTTGATTGATT